TTATTTACAAACAACAGTATAACATACAAGGCACCATCATTAATCCGATTATGTTACATCCTGGGTTGAGCATGGAAAAAAAACCCCAAAAAACAAAACAAAAAAAACCCCAATAAGCACAAAGCTAATAGAGTTCGTACAAAAAGAAAGAACAGTCATTGAAGGATTTGAACCAAAGGCAAAAATAACGAGCAAAAAAGGGCAGTCATGATTATAAAATAGGGAGGTTTTTTTTAACATAGATTAAACTCTTTAAATAAAACAATAAGTTTATGAGCTTTCTTGTTATTCACAAGTTTCAGCGATTTAGCCCAGAGTTTAAAATCATTCAGCCATCTGTTTATACATGGTTTAGCTTTAAAGTATCTGCATTTGTGAATAAAAAATTTTCCCCATTAACAAAAACGTCCTAATCAACAGGTCAAAATCTGCATTCTCAGCAAGTATTCCAAATTTTATTACTGTCACCGTCAAATGTGGTAACTGAATTCTCCTGGACTGTAGCCAGCTCCACATGTCAGTCCAGAAGGAGTGCACTGATTCACAGTTGAAAAACAAGTGATCCAGACTTTCTGTATCATTTTGTTTTTGCATTTACGTCTGGACGAGAAAAAGAAAACGCAGAGTCAAAGATGTGCGCCTTTTTTGACGTCACACTGTGCGCCACTTATTGTTTCGGTGAAATGAATTTCTACAATACTGTTACTGTTAATTGTTCTCTCTGCAGTGTTTAAATGCTTACATATACACACACAGTTACTGTCCCTCCACACATACGACTCAGTTCTGCTTCTATGCCCCAGCTTTGTTTACTTTTTCCCACCGAGGCTTCTAGACTTCTGATTGGCCAACATTTCTACACGGTTAGGAATATAGCGCCACCTGCTGCTTTGGCATGTTCCTAGCAGTGTTTTCCTTCATTTCTGCCTTTACGTGTGGACGGGATTATTTTTTAAAATGAAAACAGAAAATGTTTGTGTGGACGTAGCCTTTCTCTACTAAAGCTGGTCTCTGGTTTCCAATTAGACATTTCCAAGCAGTGTTGACATGATGTACAAACATCGTTATCATTTCAGTCACCTCCCAAACAATGTCAATAGAAGCTTGGTTTTGGTGGAGACATCTTCCTGTTAAAAGGTCGTTTTTCCTCCCTACTGTCACCAAGTACTGTCTCATTCCTTAACTTACAGCATTAAGCATCTTGAGCTGCCTGCTGTTGTGATTTGGCACGGCATAAAAAACCCTCTATCGTCAATTGTGTGTATTTTTTGATTTTTTTTTAATAGTACTGCAAACTACTGCTGCTGTTGCTAGAGAACTATTTAGTCCTGTGGAAACACTGGGCATTTAGACAGCGTCCCATGGGTCAGGCAGAGTTTTAGGTTTAAGACCAGCGAACAGAACGAATAATTAGCATTTAGGCAAATTTCCCCTGAGAAATTACAAAGCCCAACTGTTAAACAAGTTAAAACAAGTGCAGCTATTGTATTTTTCTGTGTGTGCACTTGTGTGTACGGTAAATTATAACAGATTAATTGATTATCTTATTATTTATCAGTGGTGTCTTATAAAAAATCAAAGGAACCACTTGATTTGTTATAATGTGCAGCATTGGTCACATTTTCTTTGTTTAAATATTGATCTTACCTTCCCCTGTTAGGTGTGACTCCTCGGATTTCACAGGATGAGCGGTCCTCTGTCATTGCCCACGAGTCTACGCCTTCTGTCTCCATGACAATTGCAGTGGAGCATCGATCCAGAGTAAAGCGCACTTCCTTTAAATTGGGCAAGAGTGAAGAGAGAGGTCATCTCTAATTCATGTGTAGATGTGTGAGTGTACTGCTGCCTGGCACTCTCTTAAAACTGTGGTACATATGTATTATAATCTGATGTCGTCTGCGTACGAAAATGGGGAATACATGCAGAGGGATTTGGCTTGAATGTGCATGTCTTACTTTACTGTTGCTCCTCACATCGAGGCGATGCCAGCGTCTATCAGCCACTCCGACATTGTTTGTTAACTGGAGCACCAAGGTCCCAGAACCATGGTTAATTTTCAGGCTAGGCGTCCCTCCAATCAGCTCTGAGGAAGATAATGATGAGCATTTACATCAACTAGTCTAAAAATCAGCATAAAACTAAAAATGATGAAATGAAAATAAAAAGATTTAAAGATCTAAAGGCGGAGTGAATCAAAAACTGTGATGAAATGCATCACAAACAAACAAAACAGGCAGAAAAAAAAAATGCAAGATGCAAATAACCAGTTTGTGTAGACACAGGAAAAACCCAAGGGATGTATGAAAGCATCTCACTTCAAAACAAAAACACAGCGTGAACCAAAAAGGAGGGTGACAATACAGTAACAAAGCTGAGCTGCACAACGGAATCAAAATTGCACCAGAAACAAATAGCTTTAAAATAAGTCGTCAAATTGTAAACAAAAACAGCTTAATAGTCAGTTACTATTCCCAATAAGCTCTGTGCAAGATTTCTGAAATTAGAAATTATTTTTTTTAAATGGTGACACTCACAAATGACACTGAATTCACCTATATTAAAATGGGGCGGGGCTAAAAATCTGACAGCTAAATATCTGAAAACCTAAATAAAATATATATGCATGGCTCGATATCAGCAGTGGTAAATTAGAAAGCATGTTTTCTGTAATTTCCCTGAATCAACCCCTTTGAGTAAAATACAAAATTATGGGTAATTTGAAACTGTATGCATGTGAGTGCGTGTATCACAGCACAAATATTTAGACCATGATGGCGACCGCACTGTAATCCAAAAATACAATTCAGACTGGTTTCTATGGATCTATATCTACTCGAGGTAACTTAATTTATCTGCACAATTACAGCACATAATATTAATTACATTAACAATAACATGAATCGCTATAGTAACATGATTTCAGTTTCATCACCATGATTCTTACGATACTGAATCACTTTGTCTAAATGCTGCATAGTGTAACTATAAAGCTTTATGCATAGCTGTCACAATGCAAAATAACCTATTCGCTTTGATGAAATATTTACTGCTGTCCTTCACCTGGCAGATTGAGTTTTGAGCCTCTGTGTCAGCAAGAATAAACCCCGCTGATGTGTCCTTGAGTGAGACACTGAAAGTCTATAAGCCTGTTCTAAAGCTGAGCCGCCACTCTGACGCAGGGGGTAAGCAAAACAGAATTCGTTATGGCAGACGGCAAACTATTACATACACATTAAACAGTGAAACGGGGTGTCCTGCATAGTACCGCATTAACGGTATAACTCAGTCAAGTGAGTGCTCCTATCTCTCAGTGGTGCACTAACGAACAAAATTTGCCTCGTATATCTGATTAGCTACCAGCCAGTAATTAAACACACAAAATTAAGTCGCAGGTTTGAGTGCAGTAACGGCCCAGAGGCCCCTTGGCACACATCTAATTATACACTCTTTCTTTACCTATGGCCATGTAGTCTTCGCTGTCCCCAGGCATAAGAGTGGCCATCGGGCCGGCATACAGTAGCAGTCCGTCATCTTCCTCAGTCATAAACTCCAGTGAAAGATGGCTATCAAAGCAAGGCCTGATGGGGGGAAACCAGGCATAGCCGTTGCCAAGGAAACTAACTCTCATCTGCTGACAGTCTGGCCCCTCAAGCTGTGGGGGGCACTGGCACCTGTAGCACCAAGGAGAAAAACAGTGTGGAAAATCAAGGGAAAACAAGGGGAAAGAAACAATCAGTGTCATTCAGTTTTGAGTTCGGAGAAATCTTCACGCCGTCCAATCTCTGGATAAGTGCATGGCGACTTTTCTCCGGCATACGTGACAGCTTTGTTGATTCACGCAGACAGAGGTTTGACTTTGCTCTAACATGCTGGCTGTCAACAGACAGCTGGGAAAGCGCTTTTTCAAATTGCATGCATTAGCCACGAAGCCCCAAATGTTCAACTCCACATTAAATCAATTAGCTATGAACACAACATTACTCTGATCTATTCTTTATCTATCACAGCTGTCTGAGCTGAACCCTCTGGAGGGACTTCCTGCTCAGCACATCACATTTCCTTTGTTGGAAGATAATTATTTCCATTTCTCTCACTTTTCTATGTGTCGAAGCACCACAGATTTCCTCTTAAGGTATTACACACCGGCTGATAACTGTGCAAATGCTTCATCTTGTAGTTATCCACTTATATTAGGACTCGAGTGCACTGGAAACCGGAAATTAAATGTGTTTTATGATTTTGCTGACTCTGTTTGTGAGACCACAGTGTTAAACATAAATAATCATACATAAATGCCATACAAAGATACACGTAGTAAAGAAAAACAGCTTATTTTTGATGGCGGGGATTGAGGGGACCAGTTGATCTCATCCTGTCCTCTCCACTGCAGGCATGTGAGACAAGCTGGCTTTGCTGATAATGTCAAAGCCATCTATTTTCATGCGGTGTCTGAGGAAAGCTGTGTGTACCGAGACTGTTAAGGGATGTTTCTCCCATTGCTGTTTATTCTGCAGAGGGGCAACACATGTCAGGAATACTGATCCATATGCAGCAAAAGGGGCGGCTTAGGCAGAGTGTAGCCTTATGCATACATATGCACACGCAAAGCACAGTGCACCTCGCTCGTCCGCGGTTTCTTCACGAGGTCCAAATCAGGAGGCGCGTGGCGTGTTTTTCTTACTTCTGACTGACAATATCTGATCAGCTGCTGTCTGAGGTTTCCTGTTAAGCTCCTTTGACAGAGAATAGAAGCAGAAATTGGATTCTTTATGGCTGGACTGCATTCACAGGAATATATGACACATACAGGGAGATGCTCTTCTTACAGAACAAAGGCTCCTTGCAGCAATATACAGATCAATTGGAGCAGAGACAATTTAAAGATACAAGGGAAGAAATGTGTGCACGCTGCTGTTGACAAACTTGCATGCTAACTGAAATTTTAAGAAGTTGTGCGCATAGAGGGGGAAGGGTTAATCCCCTTGCCCTATATATATTTTTTAATCCAAGCATAAGTATGTACATGAAACAAAGTGCATGCTGTTTCTTCGGTGATATACGCTCACAGAGACCTGCACACTTGAAGTCCTGAATATTGACTGCAGACATTTATCCGTACA